TTAATGGTGGTGTTTTTTATTTTTCAGATCTTATATTGTGTTTTGTATGCAGCCCTTTTAGAACTGCTTGTAGTGAGGGTGCTGTGTGTGCTTTTCTTAAATATTTATTTTTTCAACATGCTTTCAACCTGTCAACAAAAACAAAACAGACAAAAAAAAAGGCAGTGTTTGAAGATTGTTGATTTTTTCCGGGGATAATCTATATTATATTGACTTTCTATTACTTGTTATAAACCTGTGTTTGTTTTGGAGATGTGTCTACTATTGGGGGAAGAGGTTCTCATAATCGCTCGGTGGGAAATCACGGCTCTGCCGTCCTGCCTCTCTGCGGCCGTGGGTTCTTGTGGCCTCTGCGGTGAGTCTCGAAGTTTCTGCCTAGGCGCCTGTGCGTTTCCTTTCTGTGACGGGATTAGCTTAGACATCCTTGCAAAGCAATCACTTTCAATAAATTGGGGAATTGCTGCTCCAAGCAGATGGCTCCTGCGTTTCGGATGATCCTCCCTCCGGCCTCTCCCGGGGTGGGGGTGGCCGGCTGCCAGCCTCTACCCACTCGCCCACCACAAGGTCCCAGCCCCACAGCCTTCCTCCCAAGAGGCAGACAAAGCTTCTGGAAAAACCTCAAATCTTTAATTTCTCTCTTCGCCTGGTGCAGCCCAGACGCGAGACACCTGAGCTTCAAAAACATGGTAAAAACAGCCCCAGGGCCCGAGAGCCATCGAGTTAAGTGCGAGTGGGGGAGTCCTCTCCCCAACACTCCTCAAAGTGCATCAGGACTGGCCCCCAAAGCTGGGCCCATAACACCCTTGACAAATCCACGGGCCGGCAGGCAGGGGGGCGGCTGCCCCCAGGGCCCTTGGGGCTAAGGGGGCAGCGGTTTGGCTTTAGTGCAAAAAGCTGGTTTCTTCAGAGGCACTTTGAGTGGTGGGACCCCTCCCCGACCTGGGGGGGGTTCAGGGTCAGCCCCCCCCAATTAAAAGCAGACCCTGCAGCTGGTGAAGGCCAGGCCCTGGGGCTCTCCCTGGGCTGTTTCAGCTCCAGGCCTGGGGTTGGCGTGGGGAGGGAGAAGGTGGTAGGTTATGTTCTTGAATGAGCCGGACTTAGTCCAGGAACCGCTGGCAGGCCTTCTTCCAGCGGCAGGCTGTGCACCACAGGTCCCGGCGCTCCATGCCATACACTTTCCGGCACTTCTTCGCATCGCCGCGGGGCTTCCTGGGGGGGGGGCACAGGGCATGGGGTGCTGTGAGACGAGGACCCTCTCCAGCTGGTGGTGGCCGCAGGCCCTCAGCCCACACGCACCTCAGGCTGACTCCAGTCCTGGAGGACAAGGCGGGTGGGCAGGCTCCGACCTCCGTGGGCTGCGGCTCCAGGCGGGCAGGCGTCAGGCAACCCTGCAGGGAGACACAGTCAGGGATTCACTCCCCTCCAGAGGGCCCTGAGACCTGCCCCAGCTGCCACCAGTGGCCTTACCCACCTGGTAGACACGGTCACTGTGGCAGGACTGGGGGTTAGCAACAGCGCTCAGGACAGGGGGTGGAGGCGGGGGCAGGGGCAGGGCGGTTGGCCGCAGGGGACTAGGCAGGGCTGGGGGTTCCAGCAGCTCTGGCAGCTCCAGGCGGGGAAAGGCAGGCGGCATGGAGGCCGTGGGGGACACTGGAGTCAGGCTGGACAGCCCGTCCGTCAGCGTGTCCACACCGACATCCAGCTCTGTGTAGTAGAAATCCTCCTCACCGTCACTCTGCTCAGGCTCTGCCTGCCTCCTGCTGGGGACACAGCCAGTGGAAGCTGAAGGGGTGGCCTGGCCAGGCCTCATAAACCCAGCCAGCCCGCAGGCCCCTCCACACCCCAGGCCCCGCTGCACCCCAGGCCCCGCCCCACCCCAGGCCCCTCCGCACCCCAGGTGCACCAGGCGGATGTGTCTCTGCATCGCGGATGCCGTGCTCAACACCTTCCCACAGCTCTTCCACAGACACTGGAACATGACCTGGGCCGGGCTCTGCAGCAACAGGGACCAGGGTCAGGCTCAGCCGCCACACCCGCCCCTCCCTGGGGGCCGCTCCCAAGCTCACCTTCCTTTTCCTCAGCGTGGGCTCCCCGAACAGAAAGTGGGCTGCCTCGGGGGGGAGTGGGGGTGACGGGGTGGACGGAGAGGACTGGTCACTGGCCAGGTCCCAGCCCCAGTCTCCACTGTTGCTGCTGCTGCTGTAGCTGCCTGGGGGCCGTAGGAGGGCCTCCTTCCAGGGCTCCAGGCCAGGCTCTGTAGGGACACGCCCTCTGCCTTAGAACTTTGGGTGGGTCTAGGGAGTCCCTAACCCTGAGCTGCTCCTGTTCACCGAGTCCCGGGTGAGCCTGGTGGGCACAGCATCTTGGAGGAGCTGGCCCCAGGGCTTGGGGAGAAACACCCCCAGCACAGGAAAGGGTCAGCAGATGTGTGTGGCCAGCGACGTGGAGGTAAACAGGTCAGGGAGGCCAGAAGGCCTGGGTCCTGCAGCTTTGGCCTCAGTAAGGGGTACTGAGGGTGCAGAAGTCCACTTTAGAAAGCAGTCCCAGGTTTGAGGGTTCTGCTTGCCCCACAGAGGCTGGGTGGGCTGTAGGTTCTGAGCCCTGTCCCCACCCACAGTGCTAAATGCAGACATCTGAGTCTTACCTGGGCTGAACGCTGCAACTGGGGCCCCCAGAAGGAGAGGGCTGGTGGACAGGCTTGTAAGGGCAGCGGCAGCCATGACCTCGTCCAGCCGGGCTTTTCCTGGGGTGGCTCTGGAGGAGATGGGGGCAGGGTGCGGGTGACCCAGCCAGAGCTCTGGGCCCCTCCCCTGGTCGGTCCACGTGCAGGCCTGGGCACGCGTGCACACCAGCCTCCCCACTCCCAGCTCTGGGCAAGAGGCCTGGCTCCTCCCCCAGCTCAGGTTGCAGTGAGAGCTGAAAGCCACCAGGAGCCACCAGGAGCAGGGCCAGGGTCTCCTGAAGCCTGAGTTCTCCACACCGCGGGCTTGGCTCCACTGTGGTTCCTTCAGACCCTGGTGCTGGGCAGGGGTCTGAAGCCCTGGCAGAGAGGCGGGCCAGGCCCAGGCCTCCCCCTATCACACATTAACCAGGGTTGTGCAACAGCAGCTGTGGGCCTCACGCCAGGCCTGGGATGTGGGAGTGGCCAGCAGCCGGCAGCAGCCAGCGGGAGACTGGGCTGGAAGCACGGGCAGCTCCCCAGGCCCCAGCGAGCCAGGCCAGAGCCCGCCCCTGCCCTGGCAGCCAGACCGAGGTGTCCGGCCTGGCAGGGGTTGGGAGGTGGCGGTCAGGAGCCCCAGAGATTCCTGGACAGTCGCCCCACACCGACCGCGCGGCCTCTTCTGCACAGAGACGCACAGCCACCCCCTCCCGGTTCTGAGCTCTACCCCGAGGAACTGCGGTGGAGGGAGGCGGAGGGACTCGAGTCACCGATCATTTCTGCTCAACTCCTCCAGGGCTGAAGAGCTTGGGGGTGGCCGGGGATTACAAACCTGGAGCCCTGACCTGGCCTCCGTCGGGGCCTCCCGAGGGAAGGGGCGGGAAAGCGCGTCTCGGCACCCCACCCACCGCCCCTGCGCACCCCGAGTCCGGGACACCGCGCCTCCCGCTCACCTCTGCGCTGGGACGGGGATGTGCGCCGATGGAGTCCGGGACCCCGCCGCCGCCCCCGCCCACTTCCCGGGGGCCCCCAGGTCCGAGGCCCGCGGCTCCGACTCCGGCGGCCGCGCGAACTCCAAGCCCGCGAAGCCGCCGCCCACGGAAGAGCCCTGCAGATGGGGAGGGGGCAGACTCAGAGGAGGCGGCGGCCGGGGGGGTCCCTCCACCTCCGCCGCGGATCCGCTCGGAGCCCCCCTCGAAAACCGGCTGCGGCCGGTGTGGACGGCGCGGCCCCGCCCCCGACCCCGCCCCCAGCCCGGCGCGGCGGGAAGGACTCCCCGGCCGCCCGGCGCAGCCCCGGCGGGACCCACGGACACGCGCGGACCGACGCTGCCGCCCTCCCCGCTGCCCCGCCCCCGGGGGCCCGAAGTTTGGGCAGCACTGACGCCATCTTTGCAGCCAGAGAAACTTGGTCGGCGCCCCCGCCCACCGGCGCCCGGTACCTGCGGCGGCGTGGGCACCGTCACGGGCGCGGCGCGCGGCCCCGGACCCTCTGCGTGCAGCCAGGGCGCCTCGGCCCGCAGCGCACCGGGGTCCCGGCCGGCGGCGCGGGGCGGGGGGCTCTCCATGGCCGGCCGGCCGGGCGCCGAGGCTGCAGCGGCGAGGGCTGACTCTCAGGACGCGGGCCCCGGGCCGGGCCGGGCTGGCCGGGCCGCCGACCCCCGCCCTGGATCCGGCCGCCGCCCGCGCCGCGCCGCCCGGAGGCTGCCCGCCCCGCCCCGCCCCGCCGCGCCCCGCCCCGGTGCGCGCATTGGCCGCGCGGCGTCCACACCGCAGGCGGGCGGGCCCGGCCGGCCGCGCTCCCGCTGGCCCGCGCTCCGAGGCCCCGCCCCAGGCCCGCCCCCTCCGGGTCGCTCCCGCGCTAGCCTGGGGAGGGAGGCCCGGCCCCGCTCCGAGGCCTCCGCCCACCCCGCGCGCCCGCGCGCCCCTCCGGGGAGGGCCGGTGCCCCATGGGCGCGCTCGCAGAGCTGCCAGAGCCGGGGAAGGGGCCGCGAGTCCTTGGCGGGCGTCCCGGCAGCAGGTTACTCTTTAACGCTCGACTGCCCACCTCCCCCACCCCTTATGTAACACCAGGCTGGTGGCGGAGCCCTCCCGTGGAGTCCAGGGTCCAAGTCCCACCCCGGGGCGGCCACCCTGCCGGCTGCGCTGCCCCCCGGGAGCGACTCGGACCCCGTCCCCGCACTGACCGGGAGTCTGGCCGGCAGCAGCACCGCCTCGGCTAGGCCCGGGCGCCCCGGGGGCAGTCAGCCCCCCAAGGCCAGAGGGGACAGCTCCAAGCCTTCCAGACAAGCCCCCCGCCCCAACCCGCCCAGCTTTCAAGAAGAGCAGGCTGCGAGGCTGGCTGCGTTCCTCCTGCGAGGGCGCTTTATTTAGACGCGGGCCTTCTCTGGAGCTCGAGGAGGCCGCGGCTGTCAGAGCGGCCAGGACCTCACGGACCTCACGGGCTGGCAGCCCGGGACCTGGGACTGGCGCTGTCAGCTGTGAGGCGGGGCGGGGCGGGGGACGGGCCTCTCTGGAGGCCGGAGCGCAAGTCCTTGAGTGTTCGGGGCAGGGAGGGGTCTCCAGCCCCTCCCTAGGCTGGGGCAGCTGGAAGCAGGGGGCGTCCGAGTCCCGCACGTGCTGCTCCTGCCAGCAGGGTCCCCCAGCTCCCGGATGCTCTCATACACGTTTTCCAGGGGGCTGCTGTCCGCATCCAGGGCCCTGAGCGGGAGGGTCGCGTAGGCCAGGTCACTCGCCAGGGCCAGAATCGCTCCCTGGCCCTTGGGGTTCAGCGGGTCTGTGGTGGGTCCTGGGTCCCTCCTTTTAGGCTTGCAGACCCTGGAGTACAGGACGTCCACCTGGAGACAGGAAGCCAACCCGAGGAGGGGTCAGCACCATCCAACCTGCTGAGGACCCCCCGGCCCTACCCACAGTGCCCCACCCTGGCCCACATTACCTGAGCGGCCGGGGTCACCTCAGCCTTCCCCAGCTGTGGCTCTTGGGGGCTGCGTTGGGTCCCTTTGCGCTTCTGGACGCGGGCATACTCAGCCACCACAGGGCTGGCCGCCAAGCTGACCCCGGGGAGGGCCGCCAGCCCCACGTTGGAATAGGTGGCCTCGGGGCCAGCGCACCTTGCGGTGGCTGCAGCTGCCGGCAGAGCCCAGGGCAGCTCCTGGAGCGGGAAGGCAGAGAGGGCTGCCTGCGGTCCGGTAATGTCCCTGGACACCTCCAGCCAGTGTGGGCGCAGGAGATCCATGCTGGCAGGCCGCAGGGCTGGGGGTGGGGTCAGGGCAGAGTTCACTCGGGGCAGGGGGCAGGAGCGGGTCTGACCCAGGGGTTGGCACGCTGCACAGTAAGCCCCGCCCGGCCACCCCCGTCCCGCCCTCTGCTCACCCCTGCTGCTGCGCGGGCCCCGGTGCAGCTCGTGCAGTCTGGTGTCCGACTTGCTGAGGGAGCAGAGGTGGGTCCGCCTCAGCAGGGACTGGGGGCGAGGAAGGCTGGTCGGTCCCCTGCGGGCCCCGCCCTGGTCCCCGGGACAGCCTGGCACTCACCGCTTCCGCTCCCATCGCACTGCCCTGCAGCCTCGCCCGCTGCCTCCGCACCCTCTTCCTGGGGGCTAGAGCGTCCTCAGGCCTTGGGGGTAGAGGTGGGGGGCGGGGTCGTCAGCCTCAGGTCCAAGGCCCAGTGCAGGGGCGCGTACAAACCTGGGGGCGCCGACCTGCCTCCAGCCCCTTCCCGCGCTGGGCTGAATGGCAGCCGCAGGAAGGCGCCAGACAGAGCCGGGCTGATGGACGTACCTGCGGCAGGCTGTGCACAGCGACCACAGCCAGAGGAGCAGGGCGCAGCACCCTAGAACCCAGAGGGCAGGAGGAGCCCAGGACACTGGCAGCCCCATCCTGTGAAGCCAAGACCCTGGGGGCAGAAGAAAGGGGCACTGGGTGCTGGCCAAGGGGACCTACGCCACTTGGCAGCGCCAAATCTGCACCTGCCGCGGCTGCGGAGCTCCCGCGTCTCCCGCTCCTGCTCTGACTCAGCACAGGAAGCCCCAAGGCCTGGCAGTCCCTTCCTCCCAGAGGTGCCCACCTTCCCTTCTGGCAGGGGCTCCGGTGAGGTGAGGTGAGCAAGGGCTGCTCTGCCTGGCCCCTCGGTGTCCCTGCAGGCGACCATGGTAACGCCCAGCACGGCCGCAAGGAGGGGCAGGGCAGCTGTGGCCACTGTAGCCCAAACTGTAACCAGCATCGGGGGGAGGCCCTGGGTGTGTGCCACGGGCCACAGACGCCACCCGCAGCCACTCTCTGCCCAGACGTGGTCTCCTGTGTCAGGTAGCGCCCCCAAGCCACTCGCCACAGAGCCCAGAACTGGGAGAAGCTGGAGGCTGGGTCAGCAGGCAGCAGCAGCTGCTGGGGGTGCTGATACCCCCACCCCACTTCTGGCTCTTCTTGTCTGCCACTGTCTCTGCCAGAGGATCTGTCCCTTCTTGGGGATTAGCAGAATTCTGGGGGTGGGGGACGCCTTATAGTCAGCACATCCCGCAGCACAGAGGCAGCGGCTGGCGGGTGAGGGGTGGCCTCTGGAGTTTGGGGCCAGTCTGCCCAGACCCAGGGAGTGGGTTTCAGGCCGGCCGACTAACCCAGCTACAGCCACGTCCCAAGGCCTCCCAGACCCCAGCTGCCCCCCAGGAGGGCACTTGGGGACCAAGAGACTTGGGGATCTGCCCAGGCACTTACCAAGCCCACGGCCAGGGGTCCTCAGCTCTGTCTGGGGCAGGCGAGGAAGGTCTTTGTACAGCCCTCGGCTGAGCTCCCCACCTCATCACTTCCTGCTCCTGTTGCCGAGCGCCTCCCCTGAGCCTCCCACCCTGGGCAGCAGCCACCACCGCAGCCTCACCCACCTGCTGCGCCCCGCCCGAAGCCTAGATGAAACGTGTGTGCCTCGAGCCCGCACTGTTCTGACAGCCTAACTCACATCCCCTCCACACATGAAGACGTGAGCAGAGCTGGCACAGAACCCCCAAACTCACAGGGCCAGGTCTGCCTGCCTCACCAGGAGTACCCCACGTGGTGGGCCACAGTCCTCCCACCCGTCTCGCCCGCTGGCCCGTCTTGCCTGCTGGAGCAGCACTGAGCTCCACCCATCTGTGGGTGTCAGGCAGCCTGGCGGGCACCCTGGCCTCCAATCTGCCTTGGACAGAGAAGGGAGAGAAGGGAGAATGCTGGCCTCCTAGGCCCCTCCAGCCCAGCCCACCGCTCACCACAGCCCTGCACAGACCCTTCTCTCCCCAGAGACCCTGCAGCCAGCTGATCTCCACTGAATGACACTGTGATGAAATCACTTTAATGTCCTTGCCAAGGAAATGCCCAAGACACTGGCAGGTGGGCAAGAAAGTGTCCAGACAGGACCCTGCAGCCCCGTCTCCACTCAGCAGGGTCCGCACGCCCCAGGCCAGCAGGCCGGCCCCTCCTTGGGCAACACTGGTCTTTCTGAGGGCAGCCTGTGCCAGGGTCCCACACTTCATCCATAGTGCTTGCAGGGTTCTCTAGAACTCAGTCATCTTCTTGTGGGTGTCTGCCTTCCTCTGCTCCTGCTGCAGGCCTGCTTCCTGAGCCCGGAGCTGCCCCAGCTGGCGCTGGGCTCCTGCCAGCTTCTCCTGCAGCTGGGCTGACGCCACGCTATGCCTGCGGAGAGGCTCACCAGTCAGTGTGGGGTCCCCGGCCATGCCGCCAGCCCCAGGCTGCCATGTCCACTGCCCGTGTGCCCACTGCCTGTCCTCCAACACGCAGACCCCTCCTGGACTCAGCCTGACATGCTTGGGTCAGGTGACCTCCCGCAGGTGTCCTGGGGGCAGGGCCACCCTGGGTTTCCCTCTGCCCTGAGCCGGGCCCCACACCTACTGGCCAGCGTTGCGGGTGAGAGCCTCCTGGATGCTCCTGATGTCCCGCTGGGTTCGCTCGATCTTCTCCTCGGTCTGGAAGAGCCGCAGGCTCAGCGCCCGCTTGGCGCTCTTGCTGGCATGGTACATGTCCTTGCTCCTCCTCCCCGCCGGGGCTGCCCCGGCCTCTAGGGCCCCAGGAGCCTGGCCTTGCAGCTTTTCATTGAGGAAGTCAAACACATTCCGAGGGGGTGGGCGGCCCCCAGGCCGGGCCCCTCTTCCCCGGCACCTGGGGGGCTTGTTGGTGCCACCCTTGCCAACCCTGGTCCGCTTCTGCAGCGTCTCCACACACTGGTCCAGCGACTTCCCTCGTGGCAACACTACAGCATGGATGGGCTCCACCCGACCATCTGCGTGTCGGCCCAAACCTGAGACAGGAACGGCAGTGCTGTGACTGCCGGACGCTGGGAACCTGATGGCTGCGGGACCCCCGGGAACGTGACGGCTGCGGGACCCCCGGGAACGTGACGGCTGCGGGACCCCCGGGAACCTGATGGCTGCGGGACCCCCGGGGAATCTGATGGCTGCGGGACCTGGGCTATGCTGCAGCCTCTGCCCACTTCTCCAGGGCTGCTTGTACTCACCCTTGCCAAACTCGTAGCCCATCTTGGTGAGGAGTCTGGAGCCTATGCCTCGCGTGTGCACCTCCCAGCCGGCAAAGGCAGAGCTGCAGGTCCCGGAGTCCACAGTGTCCGACCCCACCACTGCAAGAGAAGGACAGAGGGCAGTGGCCGGCCAGGGCAGAGGACTATACATGGTGACCTGGGCTCTGACCAATGAGCTCAGATCCTGGGCAGAGCCCCAACACCCCACCTCTGGGGCTCCGTGCTCTGTCACTGAGGCTGCTGTGGGCATGTGACACCAGGCAGAGTGCATGGCAGTCCCCACGGCCTCCTGCACCGTGACCCCTCCTCCACAGCCCTCTCCTGCCCTTGCCCTTCTCCACCTTCGCAAGGCCGTGAGCTCCTCACCTGCCCTCACAGAGTCCTTGGTTTGGTCCTCCTTCACCAGGGACTTGGGGCTTCAGAAACCACCATCACTGATCCCTGGGTACACCTCCAACATGCAGACCCCTCCTGGACTCAGCCCACCATGCTTGGGTCAGGTGACCTCCCGCATATACACACACACACGTATACACACACCCCTCTGGAGAGCTGGCCACCGGCCACTAGTTCCCATTCCCGAAGCTTCCACCCTGGCTGTCTGGACACCACCTCTGTCTGCCAGGATCCACCAGGCACCCAGGTCCCAAGTTTGAGAAGCCATGCAGAGGAGCTGCCCCTCTTGCACTCCAGGCCTCATCAGTTGTTCATTTTCTGTGACTTCCTTGGCAACTCCGGGCGCCTCCTCTCCCATGGCCACAGCCATGACCATGGCCTCCCATCAGTGAGACTGTAGCTGTTGTACCCACGCTCCTTGAAGACAAAGGCCACCACGGATCTACCCCGGCCCTTCACTCGCACTCCTGTACCCCTGCCCCACACGGCCTCCCCAGGCACGGCTGGCGCCCTCGCTGTGGCCACTCTCTCCAATAGTTTGGTTAGATGGTCGGTGCCCTCAAAAGCCAGGAGCCTCTCAGGGTGACCCCACCTTCCTGGCTCCTGGGTTCCACAGCTGCTGCCATACCTCTGGCATAGCTGGAGTCACCTGTGCCATCGCTGTCTGAGTCGGACTCTGTGGCCTCTGTGCGCAGTGGGGGCAGGATGCCGTCCCCCTCCACCACGGCCTCCCTCAGCAGCAGCGAGTCAAACTTGACTGTGTAGTAGCCATTGTCCACATCTAGAGGCAGAGACAAGCTGCAGGTCAGCATCCTTGACAGCAGCTGCCACTGATGGGGAACCACCCTGGACATCAGGAGCAAGGCAGGGCAGAGGCTGAGGGTAGATGTGCTCATTTCGGGCCCAGAGCCAGAGTCCCAACACTCATCCCAAAGGAGGCAGGGAGCAGCCACGCAGTAATAACACGTGTGGAGCCTGGGAGGGTGTTCCCGGGAGGCCTCCACGGCCAGCCTCACCGGTGATGCGTGCCGCGTGCCAGAGGCCATCCTGGTGCTTGGCCAGACACGCAGAGCCGGCCTGCAGGGAGCTCAGGTCTGGGTCCTGGAAGGGGCGCAGCTCATCCAGAGGGACCACCTGCCCATGGGAGAACCTGCAGACAGAGCCATAGGGGGCAGGGCTCAGACATGGGCCACCAGGGGCAAATAAACCCAGGAGCACTGACCCATCCACCTGGGCACCATCCTGAGGGAGCCAGACACATGCATGTATACACACACACACGCACACATATACACATACATGCACACACACACATGTACACATACTCGTACACACATGCACACGCACTAACACATGCATACACGTACATACACAGGCGCACACATGCATATACACACGTACACACATACACATGCATATACACACATACACATACACTCACACATGCATACACGCATGCACACACATACACATATACGCATGCACATACACATGTACACACATACACACATGCATATAACACAAACATGTAGTCATACACATACAGACCCTCACACATTTATAAACATGCACTCACACACACACTCATGCAAATACATATGCAGTCATACATGGATATACACAAGCACCCTCTCACCCACGCACATGCGCGCACACACACGCCTGCTCACACACGTGCACATGCACTCTCACCCATACACATGCGCGCACACACACGCCCTCTCACACACATGTGCACATGCACTCACCCACACGAGCACACACATGCACACACACGCGCACAAACGTGCCCTCACCCACACATGCAGTCACCCACACACATGCGCACACACGCACTGTCACATGTACTAACATATACACCCATACACGCATATACACACACATGCACACACACAACATGCACATATGCATACATGCACACATGCACACACATGACATGCACATATGCACATACATGCACACACATGACATGCACATATGCACATACATGCATACACGCTCACACTTGCACACACACATACAGTAGTCTCTTGGTATCTGTAGGAAACCCCCTGTGGACACTAAAACCCGAGGATGCTCAAGTCCCTTAGATACAATGACACAGTATTTGCATACAACCTATGCACATCCTCCCATATACTTTAAATCATCCCTAGAGTACTTGCAGTACCTGATACAATGTAAACGCCATGTAAATAGTTGTTATACAGTGTACAGACGCAGCCATCCTTTTCTTCCCCAATTATTTTCGACTGGAGATTGGTTGAATTGATGGTTATGGAACCCGCGGATACCAAGGGCCAACTGTACACTTTACACACGTATGCACATGCACACATAGTCTCTCTCACACACAAAGGGCCTACTGTACACTTTACACATGTATGCACATGCACACATACACACACACACAGTCACACACACACACATACCAAGGGTCAACTGTACACTTTACACACGTATGCACATGCACACACACACAGTCTCTCACACACGGGCCTACTGTACACTTTACACATGTACGCACATGCACACATACACAGTCTCACACACCCCAAGGGCCAACTGTACACTTTACACACGTATGCACATGTACACACAGTCTCACACACACACAAGGGCCTACTGTACACTTTACACACGTATGCACATGCACACGCAGTCTCACACACACACACGGGCCCACTGTACACTTTACACACGTATGCACATGCACACACAGTCTCTCACACACACGGGCCTACTGTACACTTTACACATGTACGCACATGCACACATACACAGTCTCACCCCAAGGGCCAACTGTACACTTTACACACGTATGCACATGTACACAGAGTCTCACACACACACAAGGGCCTACTGTACACTTTACACACGTATGCACATGCACACATACACAGTCTCACACACACCCCAAGGGCCAACTGTACACTGTACACACATGCACATGCACACACACAGTCTCACACACACACCAAGGGCCTACTGTATACACACGTATGCACATGCACACGCAGTCTCACATCACACACACAGACACCCGCATTTTCTCTCTCAGGATGGACTTGGCTGTTCCAGAAGAATATACCCCGTGTGTCCCATCGCCTCTGCTGGAGTCCCAGTGTGGCAGCCCCTTTTGACAGCAGCTCCCACAGTCTCACTACTGCACAGGAAGCCACAGCGCCAGTTCATCAAGGCAGAGGTGTTGGGGGTGTGCATGTGCTCCTATGACTGAGTCCTCCCCCACACTAGGAGAACCTGCTTATGAAATAGCGGTGCCTTGACTTTCAGATATCAGTGAACCAGTAAAATTAAAACCAAAACCAAGACACAGAGAGAGAGAATGAAAAGGAAACGTGGGGACAGACAGGAGCACAATCTTCAACTTTGCCAAATAAAGACATGAAAAACTAACCGCCATCCACTGCTGCCGTGCCATCGTTTCAAAAGGAAGCTTCTTTTAACCCCACAAAAGCAACTGAGCGGCCCGGCGCGGTGGCTCACGCCTGTAATTCCAGCACTTTGGGAGGCCGAGGCGGGTGGATCACGAGGTCAGGAGTTCAAGACCAGCCTGACCAACGTGGAGAAACCCGTCTCTACTAAAAATACAAAAATTAGCCGGGCGTAGTGGCGCGTGCCTGTAATCCCACCTACTCGGGAGGCTGAGGCACAAGAATCACTTGAACCCAGGAGGCGGAGGTTGCAGTGAGCCAAGATTGTGCCACCACACTCCAGCCTGGACGACAGAGTGAGACTGTCTCCAAAAAAACCAAAACAAGAAGGCCGGGCACGGTGGCTCAAGCCTGTAATCCCAGCACTTTGGGAGGCCGAGACGGGCGGATCACGAGGTCAGGAGTTCGAGACCATCCTGGCTAACACGGTGAAACCCCGTCTCTACTAAAAAAAATACAAAAAAGTAGCCGGGCGAGGTGGCGGGCGCCTGTAGTCCCAGCTACTCGGGAGGCTGAGGCAGGAGAATGGCGTAAACCTGGGAGGCGGAGCTTGCAGTGAGCTGAGATCCGGCCACTGCACCCCAGCCTGGGCGGCACAGCAAGACTCCGTCACAAAAAAAAAAAAAAAAAAAACAAAAACCAAAACAAGAGCAACTGAGGACAGGCCTTCAGCCCACGACATGCAGCCAGGGCTGTTTCCAGTGGGAATGGGTGGGTGGAGCAGAGGGAGGTGGGACAGGGAGTTTGTCTCATGGGTAGACAAAGGTGGCCTCGCACACCTCCCCAGGCCAGGATTTTGGGCAGTTCCTCCTCGTGCCTACTGCTCTTAGGCACACAGCGCCCTGCCAATGACCAGGGAGAACCAGGGGCTACAGGACTGGGCCTCAAATGCACTACAGCAGAGACTGGCTGCAGGGAAACAGAGAACACATTCAAAAAGAAAGGGCTAAACCCAGAGTGAATTCGATTAAATATGCCCCCTTCAACACACCCATACCATCAATTAATCAAACCTCTTCTAGAATATTTGACAATATTAAAAGCCTTGAAATTGGTAAACTCTTTAACCCAGAAAGTGCTTCTGTGATTTTTTTGTGTGCAGTAGAGCCTTGCTGTCTTGCCCAGGCTGAAGCGCATGGTGCGCTCACTGCAACCTCCACCTCCTGGGCTCAAGCAATCCTCGTGCCTCAGCCTCCCACGTGGTTGGGACCAGGGGAGTGTGCCACCATGCCAGCTAATTTTTGAATTTTTTTGTTGAGACAAGGTCTTGCCATGTTGGCCAGGCTGGTCTTGAACTCCTGGGCTCATGTAATCCTTCCGCCTCAGCGACATGATTGTTAAGGAGAATGCATGTAAAGACTTAACCAAATATGAAAAACTTGGAAATAACCTAAATTTCTAACCATGGAGAGTAGCTGAGTTAATGGCATATCCATGAAGTTAACTGAAAACCAAAAGAACAGGCGAATTGATCAATGGAGCAAAGGAGAGCCCCCAGGGAGAGCCCCCACTCTTACAGAAAGCCTCGTGTGCAGAGGAAGCATCACAGATGGGGTGTGGGGAGAAAGACCACGGATTTCACAAAAGAATCGCAGGTGGGGTGTCGGGGGAAAGACCACGGACTTCATAAGAGAATCGCAGGTGGGGTGCGGGGAGAATCGCAGGTGGGGTGCGGGAGAATCGCAGGTGGGGTGTGGGGGGAAAGACCCCGGATTTCATAAGAGAAAATTAAAAACTGGGTTTTCATACATTAAAGATCATTAAAGGTCCCAACCCAGTTACCTGCCTCACAGCATTGACAGAAATACACTCCAGAGTACGTAGAGACTTAACCCTGAAAACAACCAACATCTAAAACTAAAAGAAGCTTCTGAGTTTCAGCCACACCCAAGTAGAGAGGTCGCTGAACCGAATCTAGGCCGGGCGCAGTGGCTCACACCTGTAATCCCAGCACTTTGGGAGGCTGAGGTGGGCGGATCCCTTGAGGTCAGGAGTTTGAGACCAGCCTGGCCAACATGGTGAAACCCTGCTTCTACCAAAAATTTAAAAATGAGCCAGGTGTAATGGCGCACACCTATAATTATAGCTGCTCGGGAGGCCGAGGCAGGAGAATCACTTGAACCCAAAAGGCGGACGTTGCAGTGAGCTGAGATCACACCACTGCACTTCAGCCTGGGTGATGAAGTGAAACTCAGTCTCAAAAAAAAATCTAAAACTAGACAAAATTATCAAAACTCACTGATTCAGAACTTTTCAGAGTTCGGGAAACTGACCCAAGCTGAGAATTCACTGAGAAGAGATCCTTCTTGAAAAACGCTGGACCTTGGGTCAGAACACTGGGAAGTCTGCAGCCTTTGCACCTGGGGCTGCCACTGGCTCCTACTCCTGAGTCAGCAAACCTGAGTGTTTTACCAGGTCAGGGCTGGCTGCAAAACCCAACACCAGCAGAGGTGGATGTGGGACAGAAGGCAAAACCCAGACCTCGTAGTTAAAAGTGGTGACTCGATAAACACAAAGAAAACTGACAGCCCTGATCATCTGGGGTTGTGATCCCAGCTGGAGTGAGCACTGGGCCAGCCAGATACTTAACAGGAAGACTCTGAAAATCAGAGAGCCACAGAAGGGCTCAGCTCTTCCAAGAAGGGCCTGGCTCTTGAGGAAACCACTGCAGGTGTTGGGAGCTCCAAGAGAGGCCAGGGGAAAGTGAAAGCAAAGAGAGAGGAGCTGGCTGAACTCCTAGCGTGCTCTGAAACCCCACAGGGTGGCGGGGAGCCTTTGGATTAGGAGTGTCTGACATACCCTCTTGCCCAAATCAATGGCTGACCACTACCATGTGCGAACACAGAAGCAATTGCTAGGAAGCCAGAGTAAAAAATTGAATTTAAGGCCGCGTGCGGTGGCTCACGCCTTGTAATCCCAGCACTTTGGGAGGCCGAGGCAGGCGGATCATGAGGTCAGCAGATTGAGACCATCCTGGCTAACATGGTTAAACCCCATCTCTACTAAAAATACAAAAAATTAGCCAGGCGTGGTGGCGCGCATCTGTAATCCCAGCTACTCGGGAGGCTGAGGCAGGAGAATCACTTGAACTTGGGAGGTGGAGGCTGCAGTGAGCTGAGATGGCACCAGTGTACTCCAGCCTGGGCAACAGAACAAGACTCTAACTCAAAAAAAAAAAAAAAAAAAAAAGAATTAAAAAATCTGAGCAGAGATATCAGAGGCTACAGGACTGGGTGGGCAGGTATTGCAGTTTAAGTCCAAACAACTTAACTAAAACAAACAGAACACAAGACTCAGGAAAACAACTCCGAATCCAGACACAGATCATCTGAAATATCCACTTTTGACAAAAAAAAACTATAAGACAGGTAAACAGGAAATCATGATCCATATTTAGGAAAAAAAGCAGTGGTATAATCTGGATCTGAGTGGGCCCAGATGTTGAATTTAGCAAACACTTCAAAGCAGCTACTATAAGTATGTTCAAAGAGTTAAATGAAAATATGATGACAATGATTCAGGAAATAGGGAATCCTTTTTCTTTTCTTTTTTTTTTTTTTTTTGAGACCAAGTCCTACTCTGTCAACCAGGCTGGAGTGCAGTGGCATTATCTCAGCTCACTACCACCTCCCAAGTTCAAGCTATTCTCAGGCCTCAGCCTCCGGAATAGCTGGGACTACAGGTGTGAGCTACTACGCCCAGCTAACTTTTGTATTTTTAGTAAAGATGGGGTTTCACTATGTTGGCCAGGCTGGTCTCAAACTCCTGACCTCAGGTAATCCACCCACCTCGGCCTCCCAAAGTGCTGGGATTACAGGTGTGAGCCACCGCACCCAGCCTAGGGGATCTTAAAAAAGAAATGATATAAAATAAAACAAATGGAGGCTGGGCACAGTGGCTCACGCCTGTAATCCCAGCACACTGGGAGGCTGAGGCATGTGGATCACCTGAGGTCAAAAGTTCAAAACCAGCCTGACCAATATTGAGAAACCCCATCTCTACTAAAAATACAAAAATTAGCCAGGCGTGGTGGCATGAGCCTGTACTCCCTGCTACTTGGGAGGCTGAAACATGAGAATTGCTTGAACCCAGGAGGCAGAGGTTGCAGTGAACCGAGATGGCACCACTGCACTCCAGCCTGGGCAACAGAGGAAGACTCCATCTCAAAAAAAAGAAAAAAAAAATCAAATGGAAATTCCAGAGTTAAAAAGGACAATCACTGAGGCTGGACACGGTGGCTCACGCCTGTAATCCTAGCACTTTGGGAGGCTGAGGCAGGCAGACCATGAGGTCAGGAGATCGAGACCATCCTGGCTAACACGGTGAAACCCTGTCTCTACTAAAAATACAAAAAATTAGTTGGGCAGTGGTGGCGGGTGCCTGTAGTCCCAGCTACTCAGGAGGCTGAGGCAGGAGAATGGTGTGAACCCGGGAGGCAGAGCTTGCAGTGAGCCGAGATTGCGCCACTACACTCCAGCCTGGGCAACAGAGTGAGACTCCGTCTCAAAAAAAAAAAAAAAAAAAAAGACAATCACTGAAAGGAAATTTTTACTGACTGTAGTGGGGAGGGCAGGATGAACAGGTAGAGTACAGAGAAGGGGTAAGGTGGTGCAGCTTCTCTGTCTGATACCACAAGAGTAGATGCCTGTCATTACACAGGTGTCAAAACCCACAGAGTGTACACCACCAAGAGTCAACCCTAATGTAAACGATGGACCTTGGGTGACAATACTGGGTCAATGTAGGCTTTTGGACTGTAATAAACACACCAGTCTGGTGAGGAGCATGACGGTGTTGTGGGGAGGGGGTGTTGCGATTGTGTGGGGGTCAGGGGTATATGTGAAATCCATGGTCAGGAGCGGTGGCTCAAGCCTCTAATCCCTAGACTTTGGGAGGCCAAGGCGGGCGGATTACCTGAAGTCAGGAGTTCAAGACCAGCCTGGCCAACATGGTGAAATCCTGTCTCTA